ACGTGGTTGCAGAGCTACCGGGATTTAAAAATAGTTACGCAGAACAGAGCGTGCCCACTCCGACCGGTTTTAAAGGGTTAAGAAAAGCTCAACCACACATATGAGATACTGGTTACTGAATTATGTGGCAAATGAGCACTGGGCCCCTATTCAAAGAAGATCGTGAGATGCACACTGAAAACATGACTGCAAAATATTCCAAAAACTCCAAATACATTATACATACATACATGCCACGATTCAAACAGTACAGAAAGTGGACATGTGAACTGTTTTTTTCTTTTCATGTTAAACAGACAGGATATAATTCTATAAATTTACTCTCAAATATTCTTGTTTTACTGAAAACGATCCATGAAGTATGTCCTCCCGTTGCACGCTGTTTAAATTCATCTTAATCTGTTTTTCTTGACTTTATAATTCCAAACATCACACCAACAAAACCTACAGTGAAACGCATCCAGTCTGCAACATCAACTTAAAGTGCATTAGCGTTTTGAGAACTTAAGCTTTTTAGTTTTGCATCGTAATCCTTCTTTTCTTATCCGTCGCCTTTAAACATGAACGCCTTGGCCACAAACAAAGTTTCTTTCAAATCCCGTCTCATGCCTGATCTGCCCGTCTGCAACTTACCTGCAGAGTGATGGTCAGTGAGCAGCCTCGCAAACGGAAGCTGTGGCAGTTTTTGCAATATGGAGCACTTGGGTATTCCGTGCAACCCAACGTGCAGGATCTACTGCACGCCTGCCTGACCCACCCACCAGCCTGCCATTCATCTCACATCATTGCTGGAGAGTGGGGCGAAATCCGATTGGACGACAGCATAATCCCAACACAGGAGGGGAAAAAATATGAAACCCAGGGGAAAGTAGAGGATTACACCATCTGGCCATATCAGCGACGCATGTAAATACGTGCCAGTTTAAATGCGTGCTTGTATGTGCACATGTGTATAGATGAGCAGGCTGATGTTCATTCATAAGTCACTGGGTCGTGTCCGTTCATGTCATTAACAGCGTTCCCTGTGCATCTGGAGCTTTTTTTCTTCTTCTCTTGTTTTAATGGCTGAAGGTGTTGGAGCATCACCCCCAAAGCTGCTTTACAAAGCTCTGCATGCACGTGACGAGGACAACGTGCACACGATCTAGCCATTTGAAAGCTTTGGTTTCCACCGCAAGCGACTGTCCCGTGAAAAAGTGAGTGAGAAGTGAAAGATATTGCAGAGAATATGTCTGAGAATATCTTTTTTAATCAATAATGCTTCAGCTATTAAGTAATTTGAACTCTTTTATTATTTTTCTGAATTAAATATGAACAATCATTAATATTCATTCACTGAACTGATGCAGAAACAGGATGGAGTGTGTGTGTGTTCGGGACTGGCACTGGGACCAGCTTGGGTTTGTGTCTCCTCCAGCAGATTCTTTGAAAAATACTTGAAATTATAATATTATCAACAGATTAATGTGGATTAAATCTTTCCCTCACTGATATAATTAATAATCCGAGTTTCAGGACTAGCTCCTAATCTAATAGGAAATCATTACATGTCCCATGTTTGAGTCAGGATCACTCCTGTATACATGGGAACACTTTGGAAAGCTGGGAAGTTTGTGATTTAGTAATATTTACTAATATGTACACTAACTAACATGAATGCACGCATGCTGTTACGTCCCTCTGCAGCCTCTAATCTGCTCAGTGTGTTCAGCTGGTGCTAATTGGCCACACCTAGTCAGATGTGGATAAAGGCAAGCGTCCAGAGAGCTCACTAGTCTTTGCCTTGGTGGTACCAGCCATTTGAGCCAACCTGCTATTCCATTTTAAGATAAAACCTCTTCCCACCCACACTCTGGTATTCATCTCCTTTTTTATGTTGTGGCTTTTGAGCCGGGTCGTAACATAACGGGGGCTCGTCCGGGATTTGAACCCGGGACCTCGCGCCACTCAAGTATAAAAGTAACCTGGACTCCCACTCTGGTTGCAGGGCCTCCTCATTAACATCCAGCAGGAAGCCACTGTGTTATTACTGTCTTAGCTGTTCCCAGGACTGCGCTCTTCTGGACAGAGATCTCCGATGTTGTTCCCGGGATCTGCTGGAGCCACTCGCCTAGCTTGGGAGTCACTGCACCGAGTGCTCCGATTACCACGGGGACCACCGTTATCTTCACCCTCCACATCTTCTCCAGCTTCTTCAGAAGTACCCCAGCATTGGTACTTCTTAAGCTTCTCGTGTTCCTTCTTCCAGATGTTGCTGTCATTCGGAATCACTACATTCCGAATGACAGCAACATCAGGAAGATATATATCTATGGTCGTGTCCAAATTCATGGGCTGCATCCTCCTGAGGACCCG